GATGTTTTTGTGCAGTGGGCAGCCCATGAGGTTGGCTCAGTGCTCGATTTACCCTCTGTTCTCTCCCAGCTGGGAGGTGCAATTTTCCAKGAATGTGGACTCCTGAGTGCATCTGCCTCAAAAGCAGGTGCTGAGGGAGCTGCAGGGTGGCCAAGGCAGCAGCAAAGGCCATGCTGRGGATGTTGCTGCTGCTGTGGCTCATGGATTTGGGCTCCAACAGAATGCTCACACTCTGGGAGGTGAGCAGAGAAGGTGTGGTGTATCTGAAGACACCCTGGCAGGAGGAGAAACCTTTCTTGGGCCCCAAACTGGAAAAAAGGTTTGCCAATGAGCCATTCTGCATCTYTGTTGGGCTCCTCAGTGGAGTTTGCCAGGGAAAGGCTCAGCTGTGCCTGCTGCAGAGGGACAGCAGCACCTCAGCTGGGCCCTGAGAAACAGGGGCTGCTGCATTCCCACTGCTGGGAAAGTGCTGTGGTTTGTGGGTCTGTCCTCTAAGGCAGACTCTGCTAATCCCAGAAATCTGCCCTCAGGATTGCCCAGAAATAGCCCAAACCCTCCTTCTTCCAATCCTCTTACCATCTGGGAAGCCAGATAATTTTTCCCAGTCTGATTTAGTTTCTTTAGTTTCAAAGGCCGTCACAACCTTGTGAGTTTTCTGTGTGCACACGTCACCCTTTTGCCTGGAATAACTGTCCAAGCACGTGCCTGGGTTTGAATATCCAACCAAAGGCAGACCCTAGTGCTGGCGGGCTGAAATTTGTGATGGAGAACGGTGTTAAATTTTAAAAGAAAGTCATTAACTCCCAGGCCAACCAGCTGAATGGGCAGTTTGCTGGAGACTGGAACAAAACTGCAGGTTAAGGTCATTCCCGGGGTTGGAATGTGAGGAGGGAAGTTAGAAGGAGTTGATTCTTGCTGGTGGGAGCCAGAAGAGAACGGCGCTGTTGCAAAACCATCTCTTCCCAGCTTACAATTTGATTTGTACCTTCCCAGATTGGATCTCTGCTCCTTTGGGGACATTTATACACTGCTTTGGGTTTGTTTTTTTKCTTTTTTACCCTTCTTTGCAGTGGTCCCAAAAGCTGCTGGCAGCTAAATCACAGCTTGGACATCGCTGGCAAGGATCCTGAGGCTGCGTGGGGGTCATGGAGCAGCTGGGAGAGCCAGAGCTCATTCGTGAGTGTTCCAGGGATTTCCCCACTCCCTTTTCTCCTGGGGGGAGGATGGATGGATGGGTGGATGGATGGATGGATGGATGGATGGATGGATGGATGGATGGATGGATGGATGGATGGATGATTGATGGCTCTGTGGGTGGCTGGTTATCCCCAGGGAGCTGTTATCCCAAATCCTGTGGCTGTAGGAGATGAGGGTCTGTGTCTCCCCCATGCCTGTTGTGGGGGGCTGGAGATGCCCAGCTCTATATGGGATCATGTTTGATCTCAGAGCTCCCTGTGCTGCAGGGCTTGAATCTCCTGGGTTTGTGTTAGGAGTGATTCCTGCAGCCAACAAGCCTCAAACCCTCTGGGAGGGGGAATTTCACAGCCTGGGAGTCCCACAGAGACTCTTTACTATAATTTATTTATTATTATTTTGAAAGCCCTGTCCCCYAGGGACTCTTTCACCCAAAGCTGCGAGGCTGCCTGCTTTAGCTGGAGAGACAGAGCGTTTATTGCTGTCCTRTTTGCCTCTTAAAAGCCTTTTGCAATGAAGGCATGGGGAGAGGAGGCTTTGTGTGAGCCTGAGCRGCTCCTGGGAGACAGGGGGATGTGTAAACACCTCTGTGTGCTGGGAGAGCTGCGGGCACTGCTGGAACAGCACAAATCATGGGGCTGTCAAGGGGCTGTGCTTGGAAGGGGACCAGGCCATGGCAAGGCTGGGCAGGGACACCCTCTGCTCCCATTCCAGAGGCTCAGGATACCTGGGACTGAGGAGGGAATTGTTTGCTGTTTGCTCAGGAGGCTGCTTGGTGTTGTCTGTCCTGTGGGCTGAGCTGTGCAGTGAAAAATGCAACCCAAGACTGGTTTGGTTTTTCCCAAGGGCAAATAAATTTGCTGGGAAAAAGCTTTAATTTTGATGGGTGGCCGATGGASATGACCCATTTTGCTGGGAATGTCAGCAAACAGATTTAGCTGGACAAATGAAGAAGAGTTTTTTATTATCTTGAAAGGAGGGACATTTAGAAGTGCCATAGAAATGCCCCTGGGTCCCTGAGCAGGGCCACCCCACCTGTGTGCTGGTTCCTGCTTGTCCAGAWCAGTGCTCTGACATCACTGACCYGTGCCTGTGGGGCTCTGGCATCAAYAGGGCTTCTGGGGGATGTGGCAAGTGACAGAGGGGTGCTGGGGACAGGGGCAGSGTCCTTCTTCCACCCTCCTGTTCAGGAGGTGACAGCAGCACTGACTGTGACCCCAGGCAGTCCAGGAGCTCTCCCTCTACAGTATTAACACATCCATGAGAGAGGAGGTTGAGCTGTGGTGAGGTTTCTCTGCAGACCCCAGGACTGGAATGATGAGGGGTCTCCAGACCCTCCCTGTGGGCAGAGCTCTTGGAATTTTCTGTAACATCAATACACGTGACTCAGTTCCTCTCCCAGGTTCTGCCAGTGCTGCCCATTGAGAGGGGATGAAGATGAGGATGRGATGAAAGGGTTCATCCTTATGCCAGCTCTATATCCAGGGCTCTCTTGCCTGTCAGCAAGATGTGGCAGAGGATGTGCCATCTCCAGTTCCAGCCTGTTGCAGTTTGGATGAGCTCTGATGTTGCTGAGCTGTGCTGGAGCTCAGAGCTTTGCTGTTGGGGGAGCCAGAGCTGCTCCCCTGGCTGTGCCCTTGTCTGCAGGGAGAGCCTGGAGCAGGCTGTGGGGATGTGTTTTGGAATGCCAGGGTGCAAATATCCCCTTGGGCAGCTGGGACAGGCMGCTGTGGGGTGTTGTGGCGTTGGCTGTGAGCCTGGCCAGGCTGTCCCCTGGCTGGAGAGCCTGTGTGAGGTGCAGGGATGTGCTCCTGCCTGCTGCTAAACCCCTTCCCTCTCTGGGGCTCCACCGTCCCTTCCTTGTGCTCTGGGCCTTGACAGCTGCACGAATCCCTTCCTGAAGGAGCTGCAAAGCAGCTGTGCCAGATGTGGGAGCCAGGTCGTTGTCACGGGCAGAGCCGCTGGAGCAGCCACACTGCACCTGACCCCGCCCTGGGCGTGCTGCTCCAAATCCCTGCTGGAGAGGCAGGAGCCACCAGCAGCGGCTTCCCCGTGGGCTGCGGGGTCCTGAAGGGCTCCAGGGAGCCGTGGGGCCACCAGGAACACTGGAGAATTTAGGTGGTGGCCCAGAYTTGTAGGGTCTGGATTGGTGTCACTGGGCTGCACCCCCTGCTYGCCTCGCACATCTCTGACACTGCCAGCTTCCCCCAAACCCAGCTGTGCTGTGGGACAAGGCAGCAGGGATGGAACTGGATGGTTTTAAGGTCTCTTCCAACCTAGACCATTCTATGAYTCTAAGACTGTCCTGAACACCCAGTTGAGCATCTCCAGTGTCCTGGACAGCTGCTGACAGACCAATGAGACCCTGACAGGACAGCTCATCTGTTTTGAATAAAACAAACCCGTGCTGAGCAGAGCCTCTGGGATGCACTTGGTGTGTGGGATGTGGCCAAAGTTGCAGCTGGCGTTCCTGCCAGGGGTGACTCCTCTGAACGTGGGTCTGTGCTCTGCTGGGACACTGCATCCAGTGAATTGTGCTCAATCCTCTCCGTGCTSACAGGGAAGGCTGGGGCAAGRTGGAGWCAAASCCCTGAGGGTACTGCAGAGYCTGTGATGTCCCYGTGTCCCTGCTCCCTGCCCTGCYGTGTCCCGCTCTCATCTCCTCTTTTCTTGGCAGGCACAGGGCAGAGTGCCCCGRTGCTGGAGCCTCTGCCAGCCATGASCAGGGTGYYCCKYGGGGCCGGASAATCCTCCCYGCGGGGCCGGCGGGGAGCCTCGGGGAGAAGGAGGAGGATCAGCCACGCACGAGTGAAAGGGAAAGGTCAGTGATGGGGGTGGGAGGAGCTGTGGGCCAGCCGGACCTCAGCCCTGGCCAGGGCTGGGTGCAGGGGCCACCGCGGGGAGGGGTGGTGGGGGTGTGCCCCGCACTCTGGGCTGCACAGGCTATCTTGTGTCCTTTCGTCCCAGACAGTTCTGGGACAGCGCTGCCTTTGGGAAGGGTTTTTTTTTTTTTTTTTTTTCTCTCCCTTTGTTTTTTTTTTTTTTTTTTTTTTTCATTTTTTTCAAATTATATTTTTTTTTCTCCCCAAAAACCATCTCGATCCTTCCTCTAAGCCCTCCGGAGCTGGTGCTCAGTTCCGGATGCCTCATGGTGAGCTGTGGGGCAGCACCCAGAGCCGGCGGGTGCATTGCCAGCCCCTGAGTGATTGACTGGGCTGCTCTGGGCTCTCGCAGGATGACCCCACAAGCCTGGGGGGTCTGCGTGCCTCTTTTCCCGTCGCATGAGAGCCAAGCAGGTCACCCACGCCCTGCCATCCCCCCCTTCCCAGTTCAGCCCCACAGACCGATTCTCCCGCTCCCTTTCCCTGCTTGCAGCAATCTCCCCAGGGTGCTGTGCCTGCCCCTGTCCCGCGTTGCTCCGGCGGGACAGTTCCCTCAACAGCCGAGAATGTGCCAGCAAAGCAGCACGGACAGTCCCGGGGATCACTTAGGGCAGGGAGGGTTTTCCTTTCCGCAGTAGCTCGGGCAGGGTGGCCGCGGCTCCGCGGCGCGCAGGGGCGGGCAGGRCACTGTCCSCACTGTCCCCACTGTCCCCATCGCGACACGTGGTGCCACAGGTGCGGTCCCCGTCCCAAGGCGCGGGGCCGATGGGAGCCGCGCCATTCAAACGGCGGCGGTTGTTCCGCGTCCCATGGAAAGCCCGATCCCCGCGGGCTCGGCGGGCGCGGCTCCAATTAGCGCTGCTCCTAATTAGAGGTGCCGTGCGATGGAGCCCGGCGCTGAGCGCAGAGTGTCGCTCTGCTGCCGCCGGGCCGATCCCCTGCGAGCCTCCTTCTACCTCAGCACGTTCGGTAAGCGCGGAGGGAGCCGTGCCTCGGGGAGCCCGGGGGATGGGCTGGGAGCTGCTCCCCGAAGGRATCAGGGCCGGGCAGCAGCTGAGCCTCGCTGAGCCGCGATAACCCGGAACCAGGAGCGCCCTGAGGTGTGGGCAGCCCCCTCCAGGTGCCCCATGCCCAGCTCCTTCTGCCCCCTGGATGGATTAGAGCTGGGGCAGAGCTGGCTGGAGCTGCGCCCCCGTTAGGGAACAGCCCCAGTTGCCTTCTTTGCTCCTTGGAGCTCTTTCTGTGGCTGCTTCGGGCGTGTGGTGAGGGTTTGAGAAGCCCCTGGCAGGGGGGGCTCGGCTCAGCGGGTGGAGCTGGCCCGGCTATGATTCGGCTGCAAGCCCCGAGTGCTGCCCTGCGAGCAGGTGGATTTGGCAGGGGATGTCCTGGCCGTCCATGGGGTGTGGTGGCTGGGCAGCAGTGTCACACACGGGGAGCTGGCTGCTGCCCTCTGGTAGGAACCCCCTCTGGCCTTGGCACGATTGCTTCTTGGCTGTCCCAGCCAGGCTCAGCACTGCGTTTTTCCTACAGTAAAACAGAAAAGCATTTAAAGGGAAAACCCCCAAATTTGCCATTTGTCTGARACCTTCAGTAACAGGGTGCCCTTTCTGGGTGCAGCTTTTAAAGCAGTGGTTTTCTTTTCTTTCAAAGCTTCTCTTGTTCTCRTGAGCAGAGCGGGCAGTTGTGTGGTGAGCTCCTTCCAATGTTGCTGCCCCTTCCCAGGGGTGCTGCCCCTTTCCAGGGATGCTGCCCCTTCCCCCCTTGGACTTCTGAGTGCCAAATTGCTGAGGTAGCCTGGAAGCTGAATCCTCCTGTCTTTGTCTATAGGATCTAGGCCAAATAATGTGGGTTCTGTGGTATCTCCTGGCTCTGTAACTGAGTCTGGGCCAAACATCATCTCTGGGGCCACAGTTCCCTTGGTGGGCTGAGCTAAGATGTGCAGTTGTGTTCTGAGCTGCASAGCSTGGCAGGGCCAGCACTGCCCTCTCRCTGWGGGTGACCAGCAGAGTCTGCCAAAGGGCTGAGGCCGGGGCCAGAGATTGCAGATGGCAATTTTGGGGTGCTCTCCCCATGGATCTGACACTCTGTCCTCTGCCAGGAATCCCCACTGGTGTTTTCACTGATGGTACTTGGCTGTTCCAGCCAAGGCCAACACTGCATTTTTCCTGCAGTAAAATAGAAAGTATTTGAGCAGAAGAGCTCCAAATTTTCCACTTGTCAGAGATCATCAATAAGGAACAGGTTTTCCTGCTAGGTCTGCTCCCAAAGAACATTCGCCTGTGTCCCCTCCCTTAGCCTRGCAACCTTCTCTCGTGGCTGGGAACCTGTTTGATTACCATCTTGTGCTTGTTCATGCCCATTTCCCCCTGTTCTCCTCGTGCCAGCTTTGTTCCTCAGCTTGAATTGCCTCTCCTGGYCCTGTGTTCCAGAGGAATGTGGCTAGGAGCTCTCTGTGCTGCATCCCCGTGAGCCCATCTGAGCCCTGCTCTGTGATGGGATCTTCTCCCAGGAGCTGTGTGTGGGTTCTCCCCCTGCCCTTTTTTTTTTTTCTGCACCTGTTTTAAAATTTATATTTACCTTTATTTAACAGAGAGAACCTGGCCAAGCTGTGCCAGGGGCCTCTCTGCTGGAGCTTGTTTCCCTTAGTTCTCGTTAGGGATGTATCGACGGATGAATCCAGGGGAAAAGGTTACTCTGACCCTCTGTACTTGGGTTGAGATTGGAATGCAGCCCTTGAACCTGCCTGGACAGGAATTGTGTTCCTGTCCCCCCAGGTCTGGCAGCACATCCCTGCTCTGCTCACCTGAGAAAATGCCCCAGCTCTGTCTGAGCACAGACCCCAGCCCAGCAGATCCCTTCTGCCAGCTCTGCCTGGATCATTCTTGCAGGAGCAGCTTTCCTCTCTGATCCTGGCCCTACAGAGGCCAGTGAGCARGGGTCAGACAGGGCCTGGGCTGGGGTTTGTAGTTTGTCCTTTCACGTGCTTTGGAGACACTTGGGAGCGAATGCATTGAGAAGGAAATGCCCTGTGTTCCTCATGGGGAGGAGAGCWGCTAAACTGCCACCCCCTGCCCTGGCCGGTTTGTGTTACTCCCAAAACAGGCACAGCTGTCCCTTTATCCCTGCCCTCCTCTCCTTGGTGCTGGTGCAGCCTGTGACAGTCAGGGACACACACAGAGCATGGGGCTGGTGTGACCCCATCCCTCACTGTGCAAAACCTGAGCTCTGTGTGCTCCCAGGAGCAGCTCCAGCCACCCCCAGGGCACAACAGTCCCAAACTGGCATCTCCCCAGACTACCCAGCACAAAAGCTTCCCTTCTCCTTCCTCTCTCCCACTCATTCCTGCTTGCCTACCCAGGGGCAGTTTCCTTTCGTGCTGTAACATCTGCTGTKTGCTGATAGTGGAGCAGGGAGGGGGCTCCCACAGCCTCAGAGATGTGCAGGGGGGTTAAAACCTTGTGCCCAAAGCCTGGAGTGGGAGGGTGAAACCAGGGGACAGCGTTCTCTCTGTTGCAAACCGGTCCCAGAGCTGTCCTGACTCATTGCACCCGGCTCTTGCCTTTTCTCTCTYACTTTGCACTTGTACAAATGTACACAGACACCATTTCCATGTGTAAATGCACACATGAGCTGCTCAGAGGTTTGAACTTCTGTTTTTTGGGTTTTTTGGTTTTTTTTTTTTTGAGTGAAAAATATGTTCTCTGGATTGTTTCAGGTTAAACAATCCCATCGGGTATCCCCTCCCAAGCAAGCCTGAGCCCTTGGGTGTGTCTTTGGCAAAATGAAATGTTGGGTTTTAACTTGCAAGGTGTTTATGTGTCTGTAAATTATGTTTAGTCGCCTGTAAATTATGTTTACTCCCTCATTTGTTGTGTTTTGTAAACTGGGGAAGAAGTGAAAATGGGATGTTTTGCTTTGGACTAAGAGAAACATTGTARTAGTGATGATTTCAGTCTTTGGATTCTCCAGGGGTGCTGGGAAATGTTTCATTTTGGGTTGATCCAGAACAATTTYGTGATTAGAGACCCTTCATTGCCATTAAAATCTGCACATCCTATCGAGGGTGGCCRGCCCAGCTCCCAGGGAACCTTTTGGGGAGACATTCAGAGGGGAGGCAGCTCACCTGCATTACACCAGACCCTGACAAAGATCATGGGTGGAGTCTTTGTGCCAATCTGAGCCTTGTGGGGGGATTTTTGGGCCGATGCAGAGTTGTCAGTGCATGGAAAAATCAAGGTCATGGATGTGAGCAGAGCAGCAGTGCCACCAGAACCTTGCCCTCACTCAGCAGGGCACACCTTGGCTCCCCCAGCACTGACTGGGACTGGGACCTGATGGGGTTTCAGTGCTGGCAGAGGGACCCAGACAGTGCCGAAAATCACAGACTGCAGCTCCAGGTGAGAAGGGGGAACTCAGGGATCTGTCATGGGCATTTCCAAAGGCGTTAGGAGCTGCAGGTTGGGTTTGGAGCTGTGTAAAAGCCGGAGTTTATTCTCAGCTCCACCGCAGAGTGGGCAGTGAGCAGGGTTGGCCTTTGTCCAGCTGTAGCTTGGCCCACTGTCACCTTCTGGAGGGGTGACAGCCCCTCGCCCACACAGAAGCTCAGGGAGAGGCCAGGGAGAAGCTGGATCTGGGGAACTCTGCCTCCTTCTGTTAAACCAGGCCTRGCTCATCCCACATCCCACAAGGCTGTCACCTTGGTGCCCATTTCCCTCTGCCATGGCTGTACCTCCGCCACCAGAGCTCACTGTGGGCTGAGGACAGCGTGCAGCTTTCCTGGAACGTTTCTGCATCTGGAGCCACAGCAGGTGATCACAGGATCACAGAACTCCTGAGCTGGAAGGGACCCACCAGGATCACCCAGTCCCACCCCTGTCCCTGCCCAGACACCCCAACAGCCCCACCCTGTCCATCCCTGGCAGCGCTGTCCAAACGCTCCTGGAGCTCTGGCAGCCTCGGGTCCATGGGGGGTCCTGGCCGGGACCATTCCCTGGGGAGCCTGGGCAGTGCCAGCACCCTCTGGGGACASAAGAACCTTTCCCTGATCTCCAGCCTGACCCTCCATGAGGTGGGATGATGTTTCCTTTTGGGTCCCTGGGCCTGGGGTGGGCACAGAGATGTCTCTCCGTGGAGCTGTGGGGTGGGTGAGTCCTGCCCCTCTCAGCCTGTGCTCTCCTGTCCCCAGGCCAGCTGAAGCTGTCCATCGAGGTGCGGGGCYGGACGCTGGTGCTGCACGGTGAGTATGTTCCCGGAGCACCCCAAGGTGGCCCCAGAGCCACAGTGGGCTGGTGGGACAGACAGCACTTCCATATTCTTTCTTCAAGCTCTTTGTGGCAGCTGTTGCAACAGCTGTGGTGCAGTAGCACAACTGGGAGCTCTTTGATTGAGAGAACAAAAGAAATTTCCAGAGACATTCATTTCGGGGTGAACATTGTGTGTTGTACCCACGTGTATAAATTATTTTTCTCTAATTCCCTATGAAGAGAAGAAAGGCAAATGCCATTTGGAAAAGAAGATATGAAATGCTTTGTCTCTGCTCTTTGCCACATTTGCCAGGGTTTCCAAACCATTCTGTTGCCTCCAAATGCTGCAGTTTTTAACATCAGTAATTCTTCAACAGAAGTGTTTCACCTGGCTGGGGTTGGTGTCCCTCAAGCCATGGAATGTTCCCTCTGAGCACTCAAACCAGGGCACTGCTGCAGCACCTCCCAGCCCCGGGGCACTGTCACTGCAGCTTTGGTGGTGCCCATCAGAGAGGCCAGGGGGAATGTCAGAATTGTCTCTTTTCTTTGGGAAAACTGGTCTGGAACCCTGGGGATCCCCTTAGGATTGCTGCTRCAGTGAGGGCTGTGAGCCTGGCGCTGAGCTCTTTCTACCAGGGCCTGTCAGGGCTTTAAGATGAGGGAATGGATAAAGAATCAAGGAGAAAGCCAAGAGGTTGAAATGGTCAAAATTCACTCCCTGTAGACAGAGCAGTCTCATTGCTGCCCTGGATTTGGGGGCTGTGGAAGGGGAAAGCAGAGTCCAGAGCCTCCCAGTGCCCTCAGGGGTGACCCTGCTTTGGGAGGGCCAAACACCCCCATCCCACAGACCTTCATGGCAGGGCAGGAGGCGATGGAGAAGGAATTTGTGTGAGCTGCACCCCACCTTACAGCCCAGCCTCCCCCAAAACCTGGGTATGAGGAAATGGGACAGGGATGGCCTGGGCCCTGTGGGGCTGCAGGGCTTGGCTGAGCCCCCTGTGCCTGCTGCCCTTTCTGGCACACCCCTGGCACACCCCTGGCACACCCCTTTACACACTCCTGGCATACCCCTGGCATGTCCCTGGCACACCCCTTTACACACCCCTGGCATGTCCCTGGCACACCCTTGCACACCCCTTGTACCCTGCTGGCACACCCCTTACACATCCTGGCACACTCCTTTACACACCCCTGGCACATCTGTGGCATGCCCCTGGCATATCCTTGGCACACCCTTTGCACACCCCTTTGCACATCCCTGGCATGTCCCTGGCACACCCCTTTGCACACTCCTGACACACTCCTGGCACATTATTGGCACATCCCCTGCCCCCGGCAGCCACGGGGTCCGGTAGCAGGGCTGGACAGTGCCAGGGAGGTGTCGGGATGCGGCCGGGCAGTGTCGGGAATCCCGGGACAGTGTCAGGGCAGGGTTGGGAATCCGGAGTTAGGGTCGAGTCAGGGTCGGGAATCCCGGGGCAGTGTGGGGCTGCGGTCGGGGCAGTGCCGGGATGCGGCGGTGATGTTTCACTGCATGGAACATTTGTCTCCAGAGCAGGGAGAGCGAGCCTGGGGAAATCAGGCAGAGCGAATGCAATTTGCCATCTGGCTGCTGAGCTGCTCTGCCCCTGCCCTCACCCACAGCCCGTATTTACAGCACGGCTGTGTGAAAGGAGAGGGACAATCAACCCCTGTCCCTGTCTGAGGACAGCCGGTGGTGCTGCCACACAAGGAGGGGCCACCCCCGGGAGCAGAGCAGTGTGGAGCAGGGAGATGCCTTCCCTGCTGCCCTGGGATGTGACCATTTCATTTCATTTCCTTTCCAGTCATGGAAGCAAAAGGCCTGATGGGAGCAGAGTGCCGTGCGTGCGACTCCTACGTGAAGGTAGGTGATCCCAGGCCTTTGCTTGGGGAGCTTTGTGTGTTTTGGGGGGAATTTTGTGGTTGGCTCCTCCAAGCTCACTCTGGTCTGTTTGTTCTTTCCCTTTTCCTCTCTGTCCTGCTCTGAAGAGCATCCCCAGCATGCAGGGAGCTGACTGGGCTCTTGCCCARCGCTGGATGACCCCTGGGTATTGTTGGCAGTGTCTGCATGAAGCAGAAAAGTGAAGGACAGGAGCCTGCTCAGGGCTGTGCCAACCATTCACTGCAGGAACACCCCAGTGGGTGCCCAGAGCCTGGTGGGGGTGTTGGCTGGCACAGGGTAGATCTGGACCCTCCTGCAGGTCACCTTGGCTGGRGTGTGCACAGTGCAGGAAGCAGCTCCCTGTGAGGGGATGTGAGTCAGACTCCAACCAGCAGCACCTGTGTTCATCCCTCCTTGATTTTTCTGCTCTTTGCCCTCCCTCCCCTGCTCTGGGCAGTTTTGTGATGCCATTACCTGCCAGGCAGAAGGGTGAGGTGACCCAAAGCACCTGTCAGCAGGGGCTCAGCAGGATCTCTGAGCTCAGCCATCCATCCAGGCGGCTGTGCCAGTCCCCAGCCATGGTGGCTGTGCCCAGAGCTTGCTCTGAGGATATTAACACCCTGCTTGTTTTCCTCCCAAAGGTGTCCATTGTGCCGGACACTGACTGGAAGTGCAGGCAGAAGACGAAGACTGTRCCAGACAGCAAAAATCCAGTGTTCCACGAGCACTTTGTGTTGTGAGTATGGCAGGGCAGGGGCAGCCCTGGGCCATCCCTMAGTGCAATGTCACACTCAGTGGTGKGGACYCAGTGCCYRCTGTCCCAGGGTGCCCTCCCCATGCCAGGACCCCGTGTTTGCCTTTGCTTTGTGATCTGTAATAAACAGCCAGCACGCCTGAGCAGCTCTGCTGCCGAGATGAGGAGTGACAGACATTATTCTGCTGGTTTGTGTAGCTGAAATGCCTTGAACTTTTGGGCAGAGCTCTGYGGAGCTGCCAGCACACACAGCATGGCAGTGCTGCTCCTGCACGCTTAGGCTTTCTTGCTGGGCAGGAACTGGACAAACACACTCCATGTCCTAGACCTTGCACCTGCATAGTGTCAATGAGGAAGTTAAAAGGGTTTCCTACAGCTCCAACACATCTCTGCATGGGAAAGGAGCTCCATGGTTTAGTGTTTGAGTAGAGATTGGCGACCCAGGCCGTGCCAACCCTCTGACCCRTGCAGAGTTTGATTTGGCACAGGGTGGTTGTTTCAGAGCATGGCTGGGACTTGTTTCTTGCATTCACCCTTTGATGTTGGATCTGTGTCTTTCTGCAAGGTTCTTTACCCCCTTACACCGCTCGAGGGGTGTCCCCGTGCCTGCCCCCGAGAGGTCCCATCCCCTTGCAGGTGTTGGTCAGATTGCAGTTTGAAGAGGGGCTGCAGCGCTCTGTGCAGAGACTGGAGGGGCAGGCCTGGCTCTGGGGAAGCTGAGGGAACTGTGGCTGCAAGGGCAGCCCTTGCTGAATGCTCCTGGGGAAGCTCATGGGCTGTGCYCTCTCTGTTACAGCCCCGTGCAGGAGGAGGCTGAGCAGAAGCGGCTCCTGGTCACCGTCTGGAACAGAGAGAGGAATTCCAGGTAAGGGGCTGCCAGCTCTGTGTCATCCCTTCCAGAGGGGGCTGTTGTGGCAGAGAAGCTGCCCCCTGCTCTCATGGGAGCTCCTCCACCTGGCCCTGCCCYCAGGGCTGCCCTGCTCGAGGGCTTGGGCCAGGGATGTCCCAGCTGGGGTCACTCTCAAGGACAGCCAGTGCTGGTGGGCACTATGGGCAAGCTGGCAGGGAGGAAACCCTGCCCTGGGCACTCTGTTGCAATTACTGCTACTTGGTAGCCATTGGCTGGGCCAGCATTTGAGTCCCTGCAGCCGCTCATGCCTGCGCTGCTGGCCAAAGGCAAGAGRGGCTGGAGTGGGCTGGGACCTTCCCTCCCTCTGGGTCAGTGCAGCGAGAGGCAGAGGCCAGCAGCAGGGGRCTGGCACTGTGCTGCCTGCCCAGACAAGAGACCTCTGCCTCCTTGGCTGGCTCCTGCCAGCACCAGGCAGGCTGGAGGTGACCAGGGGACTTCGGCCCAGCCCCTCCTGCCCTGCTGTGGTCACACTGTGGTCTCTCAGCCGTCACACTGTGGTCTCTCAGTGGTCGCACCATGGCCGCTCACTGGTCACACTGTGGTCTCTCAGTGGTCACACCGTGGCCTCTCAGTGGTCAAACCATGGCCTCTCAGTGGTCACACTATGGTCTCTCAGTGGTCACACCATGGTCCCTCAGACCACAGAGCTGGGCCATGTTCTGGACGCTGCCTGGTTCCTGGCATGGGCAGGGATGTTTGGGGCTCCCTGCAACAGGTGCCAGGGGGGATCTGGTGCCTCAGCCGGGGTGTGCTGGCAGCCCCTGAGCGTGCTTCTCCTGCAGGCACAGTGAGCTGATCGGCTGCATGAGCTTTGGGGTGAAGTCCCTCCTGACCCTGGACAAGGTACCTGTGGGTCCCAGTGCAGGGTGTGGGGCTGGGACCTGGCTCTTGGGGCTCTCTGGGCTCGTGGGGTGGGTGTCATGCWCCCAGGTTTGGGAGAAGGCACCCAGGAAGTTCCTGTGTCCCATTCCCAGTATGGATGGGCAGTGTGAGACTGGTGTTGCTGTGGTTGGAGTCAAGGGAGGCTGTTGGAGGAGGGATCCTGGCACAGGGGATGTCCCTCCCTTGGCAGATGCACAGAGTGGCAGTGACTGGGGGTGCTCAGAGGTGTCTCCAGCACGTGCTGCCGGCCCAGTTTGCAGGAGGGGGGACAGGACACGGGGCCAGCCTAATGTGGGTCCCACCTGCCCCGTGGGTGAGGGGATGTGACATGGGGACACATTCCTGCGAGGACTCTGCCTTATTGCCGGCGGCGTGCTGGTGAGCAGATGCAGACACAGAGGTTTTGGCTGCTCCTGCAGGAGTTCCGAGCCGGGATCCCTGTCCCTGCTGTGGCCGGGTTGGTCACAGCGCTGCTGCCCCAGCCTGGCTGCTGCTCGCCAGTACAGCGGGCTCTGCCTCCCCCGGGCCGGGCTCCCGCGGCAAACGGCTCCCATTGACCCCAAACCACGGGAATGCTCCATCCCGGGGGCCAGCGGTGAGRGATGCTCTCCCCGGACAGCACAATAGCTCAGCAAGTTGGAGAGGATTCATGGGAGTGTTAATGCATCCCCTGAGCTCACAGAATCACAGAATRTCCTGAGCTGGAGGGACCCACCATTGAGTGGATCATTGAGTGCCACTCCTGGCCCTGCACAGACACCCAACAATCCCACCCTGTGCATCCCTGAGAGCACTGCCCAAGTGCTTCTTGATTTTTCAAATTTTGACACAATGACGTGGACATTTTTCTTCATAGCAGATTAAACAGGAGCTGTTGGTGTCAGTGACCCAAGCAGAGGGTGAGAGGTGGTTAAACAGGGCCTCTCTGAAATTTGGACAAGCAAGGTGGAGCTTGTTTCAAACAGTGAAGACAGCCAGGCAGAACAGCTCTGACCTGCAGCTCTCCCCAGGAGATGCCTCTACTCTAGTTGGATTTGGCCACCTCAGAAATGTCCCTTCCTCAGAAATGTCTCCCAAAGGTGTCCCCTCCTCAGAGGTGTTCCTTCCTCAGAGGTGTCCCTTCCCTGTCCAGTTTGGACACTGAGTGTCAGTGTCACTGCCTGCAGAGCAGATGGAGTGTCCATGTGGACAGATCCCCCAGCTCTCCTGGGGCTAGAGGAGGATGCTGGGGGCACGTGGTGCTCCTGGGACCTCAGCAGGGCTGTGATGAGGTGGCCTTGTCACCTGGCTGCAGCACAATGCTGGATATCCCTCTAAAACCTGGAATCTTGTTGTTTCAGCATTGCTGGTTCCCTCCTTGCAGGGAGGGGGGATTTTAGCTGCTGCTGGGTCCTGAGAGGAGCACTTTGGGGTTTCTGTGTGTGTGTGTGAGCAGGTCTGGGGTCCTTTGTGTGCTGCTCCTGGGGCAGCTCCTGCCCTGACTGAAGGAATGGGGTGAGCATCTGCCCTGCACCCACAGCTGTCTCCCTCCCACAGGACATCAGTGGCTGGTATTACCTCCTCGGGGAGGACCTGGGCAGGACCAAGCACCTGAAGGTGGCCATGAGGAGGCTGAAGCAGAGCACAGGTGTGTCCCCYCATGGGAATGTCCCAGGGAATGTTGGCAAGGCTTGGAAGAGCCCCAGCCCCCCTGCACCCTGTGCCCCCAYGGGCACTGCTCAGCCCAGTGGTGTTCTGTGGGCACTGGGATCCCAAAAAACAGTGGGGTGGAGGTCCTGGCTGGTCCTGCTCTCCCCTTCAGCCTCATTCCTGGGACGCTGCTGGCACCCCAGCATTGCAGCTACGTCTCTCCCTTCTGCACAGCCTCACCCTCATGCTGCCCCCTGCCTCTCAGACCTGGGGCTCACTGCTGTGGCCATGCTCCGCTTGCCCTGGGCTCTGTGCTGGGTGATGAGGGGCTTTTGCTCCTGCCTGGGTCCTGCAGGGCTGCCAGGGTGTGTGCAGGAGCAGAGGCTGGCACAGGGCAGGGTGGAACAGCGGTGGCAGTCTCGGGTGTGCAGCCACCCTGGAGATGCTGCTTGGAGGGGATGTGCTCATCTGAAGGTCTCATCTGCAGTGTGGGGTTGTCAGATGTGCTGTCACACGCATGGGGACTGTTAGTTTTATTTTGTTTTTTTAATTTATTTTAGAAGTCAACCCAGGAAGTGGAAGTGCAGCCCAGGAGAGGCAGGAGGGGGTGACTCTGCAGCAGCTGAAGGTGGGTGTGACAGGGCTGTGACCCACCAGCACCAAGACCATGTGGGGTTCTGTGCCTGCCTGGGGGGGTTCCAGGTGAGCCAAGGGACAGGAGTTAGTGAGGGACATGCTGAGGTGAAGGGGCTCTGTCACCTCCTTGTCACACCATGGCTGTCATGGGCAATTTGTCAGCCCTGTCAGGCGCCAGGAGGGGGTGATTTGGGTGCCAGCCCCCATTGCATCAATGACCTCCTGTCTTTCCAGTGTATTCCCACTGCAGACAGAGCAGCAGCACTGCCTGGGATGATGGGGCTGGGACTGACAGCTCCTGCCCCACATCATCGGCCCTGCCCGGCTCCGTGGACATGTCTGCTCCTCTCCTCCTCCCAGGGCCGTGTGCTCTGGGAAGGGAAAGGCCCGTGGTGGAGCCTGGGTGATTTATAGGAGAGGCAARGATGGGAAATGGGAACACAAACACATGGTTTGCATCGGAAACGGGGCTCAGGCGGCCCCGTGATTTATCTGGGCCCAATTCCGCCCCGCGCTTCCCTCAGCTGCATTTGCAGTTATTTGTTTTACAGCCCAGGGCTGAGCAAGACAAACAAAGCCAGCGCCCCTCTCCTCCCTTCCTCTCCGGCAGTCGCCCCTGACTTAAAAGGTGGTGGCTGGGAAGGAAGGCTGCTCCTCCTTCCAGCCAGCCCCAGCCTGGCAGCGTGGCCGCCAGGGACAATGCTCTGATGGCTCCACCACTGCYGGCTCCCCTGGGAGCGCTGAGGCTCCTCTGCTCCCTCTCTGGACATCCCAGCTGCTGTGCAAGAGAACCCACATTTTGGGTTCCCTTGAGCCTTTCCTCCTTTCTCATCCCCCTGTAGAAGTGTGCAAGGTGTTTTCTCTAACGTTGGGACCCCATCTCCAAGGAGTTGTGCCCAGCTCTGGCAGTGGGGCTGCCTGGGACAGCTGGGCACTGCTGGGTGCTGCTGGCTGTCATCAGAGTTCCTCCTGGTCTTCAGTTCCCAAATCCCACCACGGATGGTGGGATCTCAGTGGTCTTTAACTCCCAAATCCCATCATGGATGCATCTCAGTGGTCTTTAACTCCCAAATTCCACCCTGGCTGCAGCTCAGTGGTCTTTAACTCCCAAATCCCACCACGGCTGCAGCTCAGTTGACCTCGGTGCTTCCCACTCAGAGACTTTATGAGCACAAAGCACAGGGACGTGCATGTCCTCTGGGTCTGCGCTTTCAGAAACAAACTCTGTTTTTTCTTTTTCATTTTTTTGTTTTTGGCTTCTGTAAACCCAAACCTCTGATTTTTTTTTATGAGTGCAGAGCCGTGTCTTTAATGGAGCGAGGCTCTCACAGCCGGTGCCTGTGAAAACGCTGCTCAAACATCCTCCAAGTGTTTGTGAGAGGGTTGCAATAACAAAGTGCTCCGTGYGCCTGGAGAATGCCACGGGAACAAAAGCCACATCAACAGAGCGGGGACTGGGGAATACTAAAGAGTTGACAGGAATTTTAATATAAAACTCTCTCCCTTCCTCGTCAGCGAGGGTTTTCAGGAAGCCTCTGGCTTATCGTGGAGCGGCATGCAGCGCTCGCAGGGGCCGGGGAGGTGAAAGGTGGCTTCCTGCCATTCTTCTCGGGAGCTGGGTTCCCATGGGCGGTCATGCCAGTTTGACTGGGGCTCCTTCCACGCTCGTGCGCTGCGGGGAGTCGGGATTGCGGCGGCTGCGGGCGGCGGTGGGGTTTTCATGGGCTCGCGGCGATTTCAGGGGTGCCAGCCATGAACCGCTTCAATGGACTCTGCAAGGTGTGCTCGGAGCGGAGGTACCGCCAGGTCTGTATCTGCCCGGCCATAACCCCTGTGCCTGCCAGCCTGGGACACATTGCTGAGTGTCTGGGAGCTCTCCTGCCRTGGCTGGGCTCTCTGTGCGTGCTGCTTGTGGGATATCGACTCGATATTGTTATAATTTATAAATTATGATTGCGAGAATTTAAGAAAAGCATCTTTAGATAGGTGTCTGTGACTGATTTCTGCCTCTTGCTGCAGTGGAGAARTGGGCATAGAGGGGTGTTTTAAAATATATACAAATAATATATTAAAATATMTAAATACAATATAAATAGATTTAAATATAATATTTAAATATATTTGCTGTGTAACTTGCAGGCAGCACTCTGATTGTAACAGCGTTAAGCTGCAAGGTGTTGTCTTAATTTCCTCCTCATCAGAGGAGAGGCAGGCACAGCAGGCTGCACTGCCTCTTTTWAAATGATTTTAGTGTTTTTGGGAGCCCCCATCTCCCACCTTCTCCAACCTGAGAAGCTGGAGAAGTTGCTGTGCTCTGTAGAAGCTGGTTCCAGTTCTCCTGCTGTGCAATGCCAGGGACTGCTTTTCCATGGGCAGCTCCCAGTCTCCTGCATTTCAAACAAATATTCTCCGTGGTGTGGATTGGGAATTCCAGCTGAGGGTCAGCTTCTCCCTGTGCTCCTGAGCTCATCTTTCAGCTTATTCCAAAGCTGCTGTGGGGAGCAGCAAATATTGGGAATTATGAAAGCAGCAAATTACAAACCCAGCTGCCTCCATGCTACGGCTGCGGTGACCATCTCCTGCAGGGAAGTTGCTCTGCCTTGTCCTAATGACAACTGAYTCTGGTTTGTCTCTCAGACCTCCTCAAGTCTCTATTCTGAACATTTATTCTGCATTTTTTGGGCAAAGTTTGGGTACAGCAAGCCTCCCCATCTCCCACCCACTCACCCCTCAGCTCGTGCCAGCTGCTTATGGTTCTTCAATTCTGTGCACAGCAGCAAAAATGGGCAAAAAAAGGGCAATCTCTGCCTGTGATGGCCGTGGTGGTAGCGGGAGCTGAGGACTATCAGCAGGGGGAAGCTGCTCCTCAGGGCACAGGGCAGTGAGGGRCAAAGCTCAGGGAGATCTGGCACAGGGGAAGCCTTGGGCTGGGAGGTTCCCATGGGATCTCCGTGGTGGGAGAGATGCAGGGCTGGATCTGGAGGTGCTGGTGGTTGGTACTGGAGCTGGAATTGTAGGATACGGAACAGCTCAGCTCCCCCCTGAGCTGGAGGGGACTCCCAGGACCATTGAACCCAGCTCCTGGTTGGACTGAGCTGCAGGGTTGGCTTGGAGGTGCAGAGCCACCTCTTTGAGGATCTGGCAAACTCCAGAGAGAAAAATGTTCATTGTAGTGGGGCTGGACCTGTGTTTGGATCCTGCCAGGGAAAGCTACTTTCTCTTTTGAAGCCTGATTTTTTTGCTGAGCAATCAAGCAGGGATGAGTTACAGGAAAATGAAATTTCGCTGCCTTTGCCCTCCCCTGGTAAAGGAGTGAGGAATCAAATCTCCTTCCTGGCAACTTCTGCTGAATTCCTCATCTTCCTTTTGCCTGTTTGTTCTCCAAATAATATGGGTCAGATGTTGTATTTTTAATTTTCCTTTCTCTGTCAGTAAAACAAGCATCTTGACTGATGTCTTGGGGGCTAATCAGGTATTTACAGGATCTGTCACGCTGAGCTGCTGCTGGAAGCCAGCATCAAAACCTAAGCATCATTTTATTAATAAGCTCAATGCTCCTCGAATCAGAGGAGAAATGAGCCTAAATCAACCCAGCATCCATCCTCTCCAAACTCAGCCRGGGAAAATGCACTCAGCCAGGGAAGGAAGGGGGTGATGCTCACAGATGCCTGGAGGACAGGAGCGTGTCTACCCCTCCAGAGCAGGGGAGTGCTGCTATTTCTGTATTCTCCRGCAGGAAATGAAATGTTTAAGTGACTTGCTTGGAGCAGTCAGTGTCAGAGCCAGGCTGCCAGGTTTTCCTTTCCAATGGCTTATCAGACCTCTCCTTACCCTTGGAAGAGCTGGGAGCAGAGCGGGCGCTGAATGAACACTCCCTTTGTGGCATTCCAAAAATCCTTGCCTCRGTTTGGCGTTGCTTTTTAGCATCTTTTCCAGCCATGGGGGTGACAGTGKCAGCCCTTCCCCACCTCTGAAATGCCGTGTGCCAGTGTTGCCAGAGGCTGTGGGCAGTGTGGGAATGAGGGGGGATCATCCCCTGCCGTGCTGCTCTCCCACCTTACGGGCGGCTCCGGTGTCCCCCTGCAGATCACCATCCCTCGAGGCAGCGATGGCTTTGGCTTCACAATCTGCTGYGACTCCCCGGTCCGTGTGCAGGCAGTGGACTCTGGTAAGAGACTGCATCCTTTTCATCCCTCTTGATTTGAGTGAATTATTGTGAATTAGCTGGGTACTGCTAAGAAGCTTCATTTAATGAATTCTCTGTTTCCTCTAATGGGGTCAGAGGCCACTGGGTCAGCACTATCTCACTGCTTTGGCAGAGTTTGCAGTAATTTGCAGAGATTTTGTTCCCTTCCCTCTCCAACCTGAGAAGTCTGTCTGGTTTGGAGACCTTCAAAAAACATCTGGGGGAAACAGGTCAGAGGGGAGCAGGATTGTGGGAATCCTCAGTTCCCTGAGTAGATGCCCTTGCTGTGGATCTGTGGGATGCACTGGTGTCTGCACTGTGCCCTGATGCTCCCCACTGCACCCCAGGGGWCAGGGAGGAGGAGCTCTGAGGGAACACTGATGGCTCTGTCCTGGTGTGTGAATGTGCTGGAAAGTGAAGATCCAGGCTGGCTGACCCCACTGCATTTTCAGGTGTGGGTGTCAGAGGAGAAGATGGGGTTTGTGGGAGTGAGTGCTGCAAGTCTGGAGCTCTCTGGGTGTCTCCTGCCCCTGCACCTCAGCTCCCTGCCTGGCAGGTGATGGGWATTTGGGGAATTTGTCCCTCACAGGTGGCCCAGCAGAGAAGGCAGGACTGCAGCAGCTGGACACTGTGCTGCAGCTGAATGAGCAGCCTGTGGAGCACTGGAAATGTGTGGAGCTGGCACACGAAATCCGGTGAGTGCTCCTCAAAACCCCAGGGCAGGGTGCTGGGAGGGGGGGTTTGAGGGACCCAGGGCAGGGCAGGGGAAGCATTGGGTGACTGTGGGAAGTGGAGGCTCTAGGGAATGCAGGAGCCTGGGAAAGGATTCCCCCTGTCAYCGAAAWTTGGGAAGAAAATAAAAACCCTCTAGCACTGTATTTGAAAYRATAGAGAATCAGGCATTCCTTAATTTTCTGGCCAGCATGTGCCAAGGAAAATATTCCAAACACAYATGCTTTTACAGGTTTTTCCCTCAAACTTTACACAGTCCAAACTCATAGGGATGCATTGTTTCAAAGTCCATTGGTCCAGAATTGAGTAACTCCCAGTATTTACTTTCCTATTGGATCCAWATTTCTTCACTTTTGATGTYAATTAGATCTTCATTCCTTAATTTTCTTTATCAATTTTTTCTGGACTGGATGTCCCCAGCTCTGCCAGAGGCWTCTGGGGTAGATGTTTGCAGATGGCCMCTGATKTTCTGTTRATGGCCTTTTATTTTTTTGGAGSRTCTTTTGGGTTATTCACAGTCTGTTGATGCATTAAAGCCCATCTCTGCAGAGTGACGCTTCRTCTCTTAAAAAAGAATTCTCYTCCCCAAAGCGAAGTCAAACTAAGCCTAACYAGAGAAATAAATTTTARAAGCTATATTGTTTGCAACACCTGGAGGGGAAGGAAGGATGGAGGGGCTGGGGAGCACGGGAGAAGGGCAAAGGAAGGAGGGAGGGGCTGGGGAGCAGGAGAGAGGGATGGAGATGTCAGAGGGAGGAAGGATTCAGGGGCTGGGGAGCAGGGGAAGGAGGGAAGGTCTGGGGAGCGGGGAGAGGGGCAGGGGAAGGAGGGAGAAAGGATTCAGGGGCTGAGGAGCAGGGTAGAGGGGTGGAGATGTCAGATGGAGAAAGGATTCAGGGGCTGGGGAGCAGGAGAGAGGGGCAGGGGAAGGAGGGAGAAAGGATTCAGGGGCTGGGGAGCAGGAGAGAGGGGTGGAGATGTCAGAGGGAGAAAGGATTCAGGGGCTGGGGAGCAGGGGAGAGGGGCAGAGGTGTCGGAGGCAGGAAGGACCACGCGGGCTGTCCCTGGCTGCTGGACGTGGCTGCTCCACTCTGACCTGGCACTCCCTCCTGTCCCAGGAACTGTCCCACAGAGATCATCCTGCTGGTGTGGCGGCTGGTGCCTCAGGTGAAGCCCCACGAGGGCATGGTGCGCAGGTCCTCCTGCAAATCCGCCTACGAGCTGCAGTGTCCACCCAACAAGCGCGAGAAGAGCGGGGCCGCGCAGGCTGAGCAGCGCCGCAGCTGCCACATCCTCTACGATGGCAGCGAGGGGCTGGGGCTGCACTCCTGGGACAGGTACACCGAGCTGGGCAAGCGGGGCCCCAGCACCCTGCCCGCCCTGTCCCGGGTGCCCTCGGCCGCGGATCAGAACTACATCATCCTGGCGCCGCTGAACCCCGGCAGCCAGGTAGGGCTGGGGGCTCTGGGGGCTCTGTGCTGCTGCCTCTCCTGGCCCCCTCACTCTTACCCAGCAGAACCCTGCAATGTTTGCCAGGGCAATGCCAGTTTTACAAGCCACACCTCTGTCCCTTGGTGGAGCTTTCACTGTTTTCCTAAAACATTTCCCTKCTGCTTCCCCTCAGGGATGTGGGGAGGATGTGGGGAGTGTTCCCACTGCACAGACCACAGTGCGAGTCACTGCTTTCATTTTCTGCTGTAAAAATTATCTTTCCCCTCTCTGAAGTGCTTTGGCTTGGCTGGGTTTGGCATGTTATCCTTTGTAGCTGGTTGTGGTGGTTGTAGCTGAGRCCAGCTGCAGTGACGGTGTCCCCTCTGTCCCTTGCAGCTGCTCAGGCCGGTGTACCAGGAGGACAGCACCACTGCGGGTAAGTTATCCCTGGGCTGGGAATGCTGCTCAGAGCTCTTTGTTATGCTCTAGGCTCGTCTTCCTGGCACCACCAAAYCCTTGTCCTTGATGCCTAAAACAAGGCTCACCTGAAACAGAGGCCCRACAAAATGAAAAGAATAAAAGCAGATATATTTAATCCAGGCCTACTGGTGCATTCAGGGCAGACAAAGCCTCCTCGTGAGGCTRCMCCCAAAATGGATCYCGAGTCACGAGATCTTCACCTTTTATCAGTTCTGTCTCATTCACACAGTGAGCCCCAATTCTCCAATGACACTTTCAGGTGATGATGTCACCCATCCCAAGCTTGCTCCCCCCATTCTCTGTTGTTTCATATTTTGGGGTTCTGAGGCAGCGAAGTGTCCTTGGATTTCAGGCTCAGAGAGGAATTGTTTTGTCTAAAGATGGGAGAACAGGAGCTTTAATGCTGTACTAGAGAAGTACAAGAATGCAGATACATGAAAATACAGAAACTAAAAATCCCGAGGCATCATCCTGAGCYCTGCAAAGGGCTCGTGTTTCGAGGGCAGCAGCAGCAGCAGCCTGGGGTGTTTGGGTGGGATCATCTTCCCACTCAGACCCACAAACAGCGGGGAGGGAGCATGGCTGGGGTGAGGCTCAYGTGAGAGTGTGGGAGCTCACAGAGGGCTGCGGGGGGATTTCCATCGGGGCAGGGTGCARCATGAAGGGTGAGAGCTCTGAGCGCTGCGGTTCCCCCGTGGGCCCGGCCGTGGGCCCGGCCGTGACGTGTTTCCCCTGTCATCCACGGGGCCCTGCTGGGAGAGCTGCTCCCTGCCCTGAGCTTCCCTCCAGTGCCACAGCAGTGTGATCTG